CACAGGACCCAGATGCCCCACATACTGTCCCTCCACAGCCCTTCTCTCCATGATCGTTAACTCCTTAGTTCCATGATGCTCACCAGGTGCCCATCTCCCTGTTACAGGGAAACTACTCGAGCCCAGGGACCATGTCTGTCCTGCTCTCTGTGGGATTCCCAGGACCCAGCCCAGTGCCTGACATGGAACAGATGCTCAATAAATACTCATTAAGTGGATGGGGGGAACCATACCACAGAAGAACATCACCTCCATGTGACACCTGAGGTCACAGCATGTTCCCTGTGGACACAGGGGCACGGGCATCAGCACGGGAGGAGGCCAGCAGGTGCCCATGGCTGTCCCAGGGATGGGGCCTTTGCCCTTCTAGTGTCAGAGAGGACGGGGACCTCCTAACAGTGAGGGGTCTGAACCTGGTTCATTCCTGTAACGCTGACTCCCGTCTCTTGTTTGTAAGTGACATCATGTCTCCCAGGAAGACCTGAGTCGGCAACCTATGTCCTTCCTCTTCTCATAAATACACTTGACCTGGCACAAACTCTGCATCCTCCATCCCAGATGGAGTGACCGCCAGGGCAAGGCTGAGCTCCAGCCTGACCACAAAAGAAGTCAGGGGGGGACTCTCCATCCCTGAGGGTCCCAGGTCTATGGAGACACCTGGCTATGGTCCCTGCAGATCCTTCCCAGCCCAAGGAGCTCTGGGGAAAGAGGGGAACTTCTCATGCAGGACAGGACAGGACAACCCAGGGTCTGCTTGTGCTTCCATCTCAGAGGGGCTGAGGGGCCACGGGCCTCCCCTCCCTCACAGATCCCCTGCTAAGTCTCCAGGTGGGAGACGCTCCAGTTCCTGGGCCCTGTGGGGAGGCCTAGAGTAGATGACAGGCAGGGACACAGAAGGCTTCTCCTGAAGCAGCCCATCCTCTGGGTGGACAGTTCTCCTGACACTGGACCAGTATAACTCAGGGTCGTCTCTTTGGGCTCACCCTGCACTGGGATGGAGTTGGCAGGCCTGGAGACCTGCCGTGAACAGAACCCAGGATGACCAATCCTGCAGCCAGGAGGTCAGAGCTCACCTCTGCAAAGGGGGCAGGGCCACTCACACCATTTGAAGCCTGGTCTGGGTCCCTGGTGCAGCTCCTGACAATGGCCGCAGGTCTCCTCATGACCTCCAGGAGGCGACGTCGGGACGCACAGACAACACTCAGGATATTCCACTGAGATATGAGCCCAGCTTTGGCTAAGGAAGGGGAGATGGAGCCTGATTTCCATCCCTCGCTCCAGTAGGCCCTTCTGGGTCCTTCCCACATGCCTGCTCTATCCTTCATGCTCCTTCCTGAGGCGTCTGAGGACCCTGCTCTACCAGGGGTCTCTGTGCAGCCCCCACTCCCTCCTGGCACCACCTATGGGGAGTGGGGAGGCCAGGTGGCCACAGGACTCAGCCGGACAGAGGACAGAAGATGCCCAGGATTGTCAGGGACAACACGGACATGCCTTGAGCCACAGCTCAGCCAACAGACACAAAGAGCGTGGGTCTCCCTGAAACCTTCCCCCAGGACAACTGAGCCCACAGCACCCAACCTCCCACCACCACAGTCCTCTCTTCCCAGGACACGCAGGACCCCTCCCCCTTCACAACCAGGGCCTGCAGCTCCTTTTGAGACACCTGGGCCTGGGTTTCTGTCCCTGGATCAGAGGTCAGGCTGGTGGCACTGAGATAGAGGGCAGGTCCCCTCACCAGTCATCACTCATCTGCCCCTTTCTATCCCCCAGAGCCATTTCTGTCACCCTCCTGCTGGGAGTAAATCCACCCTTCCCAGCACAGCTGAGAGCACTGGGAAGGCCTGGGTGTCCACTGGGTTTCCATGTCACAAAGAGACATAGTCCCCCAGGTTTGGATATCTTAGATGTTCTCTGTGTGGGACTGACAGACCCAAGGCCAGGACACAGCAAAGGTCAGTGCTGGGGTGTGTGGGTCATTCTCTAAGGGGACAGAGGTCCCCATCAGACTTGTTTCTCCAAGTGTGGTTGGGAAAAGCTAAATTTACACAAGGAAAGAGAAAGAAGGGACCAGGGAGGCAGGACTGAGAGGAGAGGAGAGAGAGAGGCCTCCTGAGCAGAGACACCGCCCCTAGCCCATGTGACCCTGGGAAATGCTCCACCCTGGGAGGAGGCTCAGCTCAGACAGAGGAAGGACAGCAGAGCTGACCCGTCCCAGCTCAGTGCTGTGAGCATTTCTGGAGCCGAAGCTCTTCTCCACAGAGGGAGGACAGAGCAGGCAGCAGAGACCATGAGGCCCCCCCCAGATCCTCCCCGCAGAGGGCGCAGCCCCTGGCAGAGCCTCCTGCTCACAGGTGAGAGGGGAAGGTTCCCTGCGAGTGGGTGGGAGGATGGGAGCACAGAGACTGGCTGGGGTGTCCTGGGAAGGACACGGATCTGAGAGAGAACATAGGGATTCCATTTGGAGGCTGCAACAGGATCCTCTCAGTGAACTCGAACTGGTAAGGGGCATAAAAATCTCAATGGTTCTGTTTTCCAAGTTAATCTTCACGGGCCACTTCACTTTGAGAAGTGATAATAACGACTATGTCAGGATAACAATCCAAATAAAAACAACCAGGGAATTCAACAATGTCCTCAGCCACCGACCTCAGAAATTGACAAACACCAGGATTTACAGGACCACGGGAACACTCATCAGTTCATCCACAGGTATCTGCAGCCTGTTCCCAGCACTGGGTACAACAAAGATCACACAAGGCCCTGCCCTCACGGAGCTCACCCTGTAGTGGGGAGGAAGACAGACAAGCAAAGAGATCTAGAAGGTGAGGTCAGGGGTTGACAAGAGCCATGGAGGGAACAGGGCAGAGAAGGGTCAGAAAGTGACCCTAGAGGAGGAGGTCAGGGAAGTTGTCTCCCAAGGA